TGGAAACCAGATAAGATGAAATACTTAAGAAAATACAACTAATTTTACCACACGTAAGACTTGTACATAGAGTAAAAGAAGCAGAGATGTATGGAAAAATTACATATGCTAACAATTTTTAGGAGAACGAGATCTTTATTCCCACAGAGTAGAAAAAGTTAGGGTTGATAATTATGAATGGAGGGGGACTTCCCCAGCCATCATTATTTCTAAATGCAAAGATTTATTTACTTGTTTACTTTTATTCACCTTTGCGTCTGTTTTTTTGATCAGTGGAAATGCTAGCAATGCAGCCAGGAGAGTCTGTGAGTAAGAAAACCATTTAGCAGGTCTCTTTCTTATGTTAGAGATTCCCTGAATGACAAGTGAGTTGCTCCAGAGAACTAGTGTGGATGGAGGCCTTTTGGCCAGGGTGGTTTGTGTAGAAGAGGATTTCTGACTCCTGTTGTACATGGAACTCCTACTCATCCTGTCCCAAGGGTAAAAGATACTGCCAGGGAACTACAGAAATAAAACTCCAAGTCCCTCTCAAGCTCCAACCACCCCAATGAGTTACTATTCCCCTAGGATTCAAGAGACCTCAAGGAGATTTAAAAGTACTCCTTTTCTTACAACTGACCCAATCCATAACAGTGAGGATCAGGCAGAAGAGCATCATTTACCAAAGCCAGGGTTGGAAACAGTGGGAGCCTGGTGAGGCCACAGGGCGGACAGCTCAGAAGGCTCCTCTGCCCCATCTGGAGGCCAGTGGTCCCCACTGCATTGCTTGCCCATCAAGGCATGGGCTTTGCAATCAGGCCAGATGCAGGCAAATTAGAAAACAAACAAACAAACAACAGCAAAGCATGGAAACCTACTCTCTGAGCTGTTGAGACATCTCTGCACCACATTTTTCTTGGCGCTCTGATGACAGCAATGCCTTAAACTTTACCTTTTTTATTTTCTCCATCATTTATAAAGTTTTCATTTACGTGCTTCATGCAATAACCCACATTTGAAGACAAAAACTATGTTAATTTGAAGCTGACCCTCTGCCTTGCCAGATGTCTGCATAGCAGCAGCAAGACCATGCTCATGTATTTGTAAAATAACAGCAATGCTAGACTGAGCACTCAAACAGACAAATCTTTCTACACAGCTAGACACACGCTGACCTCAGAAAAGCTCTGCCTCCCCGTTGCCATTCAGTCTCAGTGAGAGCAGGATTTTTTCCACTCTCCTGAGAATTCATAAACTTCACCAACCTGCCTTCAAATAAACAGCAACTCATACAACTACTGAAGGAAAACCTGAGCAAAACTTTCTGTAACCACTTAAGATTCAAATATGCCAGAGGTTCCTAAGTCATCTGATACTAATTTCTGAAGCATTCAAACAGGACTTGCACTATTTCATATGCCAGAAAGCATAAATACAGTGCTTTCTCTTATCAGTATCTTCTCTTGCTTAAGGTAGCTTGATAACATTAGCTCAACACCTGCAGTATTCCTCTTTCCTTCCTACAACAGGGTTCAAGGAATCTGTGGGACTTTTCTGCCGGTTTTTATTCAAAGCTCAAAGTGAAACTGCTGTACTAGAAATTGCTCCAGTTGTGAACTAGAAGCCAGGCCATACAGATTTTAAGGGAAGAAATCTCAGAAGAAGGGAAACACAAGAGAAAACTTTGAACAGCGATAAATTAGTAAACGGCAGAGTTCACCAGAAGGTAAGGCTTGAGTGCTGGTCTTTGTGTTTACATGCATGCTTATATGATGCAAATCTACTCTGATGTGCTCTTGGAGAGAAAAGTAGCTGGGACTCCCAGTCCACACTATCAGAACTAGTCTGAAGACAGGAATTTCAGGTAGTGAAGCAAACAGAGAGAATTTAGAGTCACAAAACTGTTCAAATATGCTGATGGATGAAATAGGTGACACCTAGAGCTGAATTTTAGCTTTGGAAAAGAGTGCACGGTTCAGTACTGTATGTTTCTGAAATGCATTAAGGATTTTCATTTAAAGCTAAAACCTAGAAGTATTGACTTATAAAAATATAGAGATAGAACCAAAAGGTATTTAAATACTTCTCTTTGTACCAGACTGGAATCTACAGAGCAGTTTGCCTCCCATGAGGTTACACAGGGACCTTTAGTCTGAAATGAGGTATCAGGAGAATCAGCTGAGTGTAGGTACGCAGGGGAACGACCAGCCAGTGAACCAGACTCATAGGAAAGACTGAGTCAATCAGACTCACCAACTGCCTCAAAACATTTCATGCCCCTTGATTCATATGGCTAATTACAGCTGAGTTATCACAGGATTGAAAATGAATCACTTTGCAGTCATATCAAAAGACAAATCCAGCATATTTCATTCAAAGAATATATTTGATCCCTATTCCAAGAACAGACTTTCAGCTAAAGATATTCACAGAATTCCAGTTTTACTGAATGCTGAACTACTAAATTTTAATTTTTGATAGGGATGTGAAATAGTTCTTAATTTTTCTCAGCTAGAAAAGGGTTTCTTTATAGAATCTGAAGAATTCAGCATAAACAATCGGTTGTGTTATCCATTACAATAAATGGAAATAAGATTTAATGAAGCTTTCTACTATAAAGTTATATAAGAATCTGAAGCAAATTTTTTTTGTATATATGGGATAATACTGCTGTGCTATCCCTGGGTAAAGCAGATTTCAGGGGTTCCATTGTTAAACCAAACTGCAGTATGCTTTCCCCTCAGAAAATACTAAAATAAATTCATGTTCATTCATGGCCTCAATTGCCCTATTCAGTTTCCTTTCACATTACTTAACTCTTCTAAAAATCTCTTTAAATTTAGGCAGTTTTTCAGATAAGAATTTCATAACAAATGATTACATATCATCTTTTTATAACACTGAAGTAAAACATTGTGTATTTACCTGAAAGATAAACTGGTATCTGACAAAAATGAACTGTTTCCATATTTGTAAATGTGTCCTAAATTTTAGGCAAAACTTTGAAAAAACTGACCTCCAACAGCTCTAAAATATCATTGTTTAGGAATTCTGTTGTTCAATGTAAGTATACTGTAATAAATACAGTGAAGTTTTTATTCAGTATTGTAGTCACTCCAGCAGATGCTAGATGCATAAATAAGAAGAACCCAACAACTGTCATACCATCAGGAAGATATTTTCACTCCCAGGAACTGAAGTGGCTGAAGAAACTCCCAATAGAAGGATCTATTTCACAAGACTTCCAGCCCAAATCAAAAACAAATTTTTTAAATCAGTTTCAGTTAAATATCTGAACCAAAGAGGTCAAGATTCATAAGATCCACTAATCTACTTTCTTACTGAAACTTATCCCTCTTATCTTTCTAAAGCCATTGGCATACTCTCTAGACACTAGTATTCTTAAGGTGCTAGTATAGCTAGGATACCTGAGAATACCTCAGAGGCACTTTAATGAGCACTGTTTCATATGTTACTCTGGCAATTAACATCCTCAGCAAAGTTATTTTTTGTTTGCTTGCTTTTTTTGCTTAAAGGCAAAAATCGAGAATGAACCTTTATGAGAAAAAAAAAAAACAAAAACAAAACCATTCAGTTTCAAATTAATTAGACATTTCTTTGTTGCAAAAAATATCTACCAAAATCATATTTGCCATAGTGAGTGTATTTGCCAGAAATGTTTGTGTCACCACAATGCAGGCAGGCACAGTTTAGGACAGAACAGAAAAGAAGTACAGTGGCGACAAGAGCTTCCACCTCCAAATATGTCTCAAAAAGTCCAACATGGTAGAAAGCAGCCCTGTTGCAGTATTCTGCATCCCCATCTGGTGTCATTTAATGGTTTTAATGAAAGCTCTTACACATGGTTCTTAAAACAACCCATCTGTTTGCTGGGGTGAATTAAAAGATGTAAATGCAGTGTAATATGCCAAAGAATATAACAGTCTCAACACAAGATCTTACTGTGTCAACCAGCAACAGGTTCCAGCTGGGGCAGCCTCACGGAACAAAGACAGCCCTGGGCTTAATATGAGTATATGCTTCTGAAGTCCCAAACCGGGCAAAAGAGAAAAAAAATCTCAAGACCTTGACCAGATGTGCAATACCCAGCCAACTGTGCAGTAAGCATGCTTCCACGGCAACCTCACTAACAACATAGTGAGGTTGTTACAAGTAGATACACGTAGACATCTGTTTCAGATGGCTAGTACAGGCAATGCAGTGTACAATCACAGATAATGCTTCAGCAGCACTGATACTTCGAACTGCCTTTTCGCTCTCTGCTGGTGCTGGCCACAACTTGGATTAGCTCATGTTCTATTTTAGACGAACAGGGACAGAGGCACAGCAGCTAAGCTCTGAACTCTGCAGTTTAAGAGGGACTGTATTCCCTAACGTGCTCCAGTATAACACCACATCAATATGGCCAAGCTTGCAAAGCTCATAGAACACCAGTCGCGTTTACCTTTCTGAAAGCTTTCCAATCTCTTACAACAAAATTAAATAAACAGATGAAAACGAACTAAATCTACAGATTAACAGTTATCATACTAGGATCCACAATGAGAATGTATCACATTACAGTGTTTAGTACACACTGTCAAGAGCATAATTAAGACAGATTCTTTCTAATCATCATCTCTTGACCTAATGACCACTATATATTACTCAAACCACTTAAATACATAATGACATGTACATTCTCCAAGTCTCCTAATTCTCAGAAAAAAAATCTAGGATTATCTCAATTTTCAGAGCTTCCAGTTCCCTGCAAAGATTAGGTCAATGGCACATCTCATGAACTTATGTAATCATGCAGTGCAACAAACATGCCCAAAACAACCTAGATAAGACATCACCCCTTTGGAATGACTTGTTTGTTTGTTTTAGAAAAGGACTTGCTTTTTGTTTTCATTTCTTATTTATCACAGCAAATTCCTGACCTGTGGCTAGAGCTTGCAAGGTGTTAATATCACACAAATTATATACCATTCTCTAAATATGGATTAAATCAGACATACCAGACGCTCTCTTGTGATGATTTTCCCTTGAAGGTTGATTGAGGTGACAGAAATCTTGGAGGTGATTACTCCTATCTTCCTATTACAGCCTCAGTGCTCTGATAAAGTAAACCTTTGGTCCCTGAATTCCCCTTTGGTATTTTTCTTTGAGATCACCTAAAAGAGATAAACAAAGATATGAAGAGCATGTGATGGAACTGTTCCAGCATCAATACTGATAATTATACTTGGCTATGCATTTATGCTAAGATCAATTAAGCAGGTTTAATTAATAATTGATATAATTACATGCAAAGTAATCCATAATATAAGCTTTCATTTTGCACTTAAGAAAAAATGTAGTTTTTGCACCGTATGTTCTGTATCAGCCTTTGAGGATGCAGCCTTTGAGAGACTTTTATCAGACAAATTAAAATAGAAATGGAGGAAAATATTCTATGTTCACTCATACATCTATACTCCTAAACACTGGTCAGAAATGCCATGGAGCTTAAGCCATATATCTTGAACAGTAACCAACTCCAAATCTGCATAGGGTAGCTACAGAAGTGTTTCTACCCCTTAGCTTCAACTAAACAGCACTCAGACTAAATTCAACAGCTACTGCTAACTTTTGTCTTACTTTTGTTTATCTGTAGAAAGTTTGCCATTCTACTGTAATTCCTTCAAGTGTTTTTCTGTCTGAAACTGCTGGGCCAGCATCCCTACAATACTATTCTTGAAATAAAGTTGCTTCCTTTCTGCTGATAAAATCAACCCTTGCTAGCAAATAGCACTTCTCCCTGTACTACATGCATGCTTTTTACCTTCCACTGGACATCTCAATTTACCTTCCCGACTCCTAAATTTATCAAGGAACTACTCTGATCTGATGTGGTCCACCTGACAAACAGAATAGAGCAATAGAGATAACTGAGAACCAGTGATAAGTTAACCCTGCCAGAAGTTTTCTTTTGTAGAGTGGTTATCATTTACTATATACTGAAATTGAGTGCTCGTATGACTGATGGTTACATTCACCTTAGCAGTAAAAAAATTATAGGATACAGTGTATTTTAAACTTCTGTAGCTCCCATAAACCTTCTGTGAGCACCTCACAGGTTTTGGCCCACAGTGGTGCTGAAATTCTCATCTAATATGAAACACTGAGAAGATGAATGACTTTTCCAGTGCACCTAGAATGCTAGAAAACCTGGAGCAGAGTATGGACCTGAAAGACATATTAGAATCATAGAATCATTTGAGTTGGAAAGGCCCTTTAAAGGCCATCTAGTCCAACCCCCCTGCAACAAACAGGGACACCTACAGCTCCACAGGTTACTCAGAGCCCTGCCCTGCCTGACCTAGAAGGGCTTCCACATCTCTGCACAACCTATGCCAGTGCCTCGCACCCTTATTGTAAAACACTTTTTCCTTACATCCAGCCTAAATCTCACCTCTTTTAGTTTGAAATCATTTCGTCTTGTCCTACCACCCTAACCAGCTGAATATGAAAAAATCCAAACTATTCCAAGACTTTAGACTACAGCCCTGCTGGATATTCATGTTCTCTTGCTTACCCCAAAAGCATACTAAGACACATCAGCCTGGTATAACTAAAATGTAGATACTCTGAGCTTTTACTGCCCTGCTCCTCAGAGCTGTTTTGCTAGCTAAAATTTATCTCAGCTATAACATTTTCACACACTACTTTTCAGGCATAGCTTTATTTTATCATGTATTTTCTGTATTTTGAGCATAAGGTACATAGCAAGCACTGAGACCTGTTATCCTCCCAAATGCTCTAGGTTCACTTGAAATCAGCCTTCCTGAGCTCACCTTGATTGTGTCCTCGTGACTCTGCATTAACTTCAAAGAACACTGTGAAGACCACACAGCTCTCGCTGCAAACAACCTAGCAGGACAAGTATAACCCCTACAAATATTGTCAAAGATGCTAGACCACACAGAAGATTCCTGCAGTGCCCTTTGGGCTTAAACATGTAGGGGGTCTGAACTACCTGTTGCTTAGACCAACTCACAGCAGCTCCAAGAATCCCCTGTGTAAGGCATGCAGGGAGTTTCATGCCTATATGATGAGTGTAGAGCTATAGATCTTCCTGTTGATCAGATAGCCACATTAATTTTGCCCCAGCTTGCAACGTACCCTCCTCAAAGTTTAATGTAGCAGAGAGAGAGGTTCACACCTGAGTACCTGACAGTTTGCCAGCCAAGGCACTCTCTCAGCTACTGTGGAAGTCTCAGGTCTTGCAGGACTTGCAAGATAGGAGATTTCAGCCCTATTCATTCCCCAAAGCAAGAAACTGCAACACCACTTTCTTATTTGAACACAGTAAGACACACAAAGCATAATGACATCCGTCTTCAGAAGACTCTTAAGAGAGGGAGGGAGGAAGGGAAGGATGTGAAAATGTCTGGTTTAGAAGTTCTACTGCGTTCAGGACACCAAGTAGTGTAGTACAGTATAGTCAAGATTTAGGGAATTGGGAAATGACGAACTATGGAATTTGTGGACTAATGGAAAAAATACTGATGCAAATGACAAGCATCCAAAGAGGTCTGACAGTGGTATATAAGTGTCAAATTTTTTGCTTTTGGCTTTTCAGTTCAGCAAGTTGCTGCTGCTGCAAAGGCTCCAGATTTGACTTGTGAAGGCAGAAGACTGTGATGTGCTATTTGGTTTTGCCTAAATGAATGAAAAGTGCCATTCATCCTTCTTCACATTTCACAATTGTCAACAGGTGTCTCGCAGTTGTCTTAAAATGAGTAGTCACTAAATAAGTTGTTGTGATTGGTAATAACTATTAGTAGTGATTGTCTGAGCATTCACCACAGCCAGTGCATCTGCACTGCGCTCACTGAAATTCAGCCATGGAACGTGGGTGGTAAGTTTTGGCTGGACAAACAAGCTACAGGTAAGGTTTCTTCAGTATGTTCTGAATTTCTGACAAATGTATATAGTCTGAGCTAATCGTTGTTTCCTCAGTGCCCTAGTTTCAAACAAAGCTTCTTGTTTGAAATTGGCATTTTATCCAGGTTAAATGGAGGCAACTGAGAGGAGAAAGAAAGAGGGTTAACATTTTTCATAGGAAAGACTGACAGAGCAGGACAGCTTTTCTAGGGAGGTCAGGAAGAAATGCTGCTTCAACTCAGGATTCAGAGGTGCACAGATCTGTTCAGCCTGGGGAAGTGAAGACTGTGGGGGGATTTGATAAATGTATATAAACATGTAAAGGAAGGAGGGAGGCAAGTGGATGAGACCGGGCTCTTGTCAGTGGTGCGTAGTGATAGGACAAGAGTAATGACCTAAAACTTGAACGCAGGAAGTTCTGTACTAACGTGGGAGAATTTCTTTATGGTAAGGATGACAGAGCACTGGAACAGGCTGCTCACAGAGGCTGTGAAGACTCCTCGTATGGAGATATTTAAGACCTGCCTGGACATCTACCTGTGTGACCTATTGTGGGTAACCTGCTTTAGCAGAGGGGTTGCACTCGATGGTATCTTGAGGCCCCTTCCAACTCCTGTGATTCTGTCATTCTCTGTGCATCTTCAGAGCACTAAGATGCTTTGAGGAAATCGCAGTTCTGGACCACTCATATGCTTTGTTCACCTCTATACGCTCCGTGAAACAAGGTGGCTTTTTTGCTTGCTGTATACTTATTTCCTCTTCATATCTCCCAGAGCACAGATGTCGATACTTCTGTTCTTTGTCCTAATTTGATATACACTAATTAAACAAAACACTGAAATTTTGCAGTATTAAAAATACCTTTTCCCCACTCCTTTCCAGTGCTGTGTTGGAACTTGCGTTGTCCCTGAATGCGACACAAAGGTTACTTAACCTGCTCAATTACTTCCTGGTAAGGAGCCCAAAATAAATCACAACTGTTGCTAAAACAGATTTGTCTGAAAACATTTTTTTTTCAGTGCAGTATTTATGGAAAATGTTGACAGAGGCATTTATCTCTAGATTAGAGCCAATTATCTTCAGAAAGACAAGGAGCCATAGTCATTTCTTCCTGCTATTATGAACAAGCCTCCAGCTTTCTGAGATGGTAGTACACTGAAAATTAAATAATAAACAAACAAACAAACAAAGTAGATGAAAGAAAGAAACTTCTGCTCAAACAGAAGTTGCGCTTTGTATTCCAGGTCTTTTGCTACAGAATTTTCTCCTTGGCACATAAGCCAAACAGCAGACCATGAACGAGATCCCTGCCAAAACTCTGATTAAAGACTCACTCTCTGCACCTGCCTGTTATTTCACTGCTACACACCTGCAGACAGGTTTCAAGAGCCTCATTATTGCTCACTTGTCTCCAGCCTCATTCTGACAAACTCCACAGACAAAATATCGCATTTCCCTTCTAACAACCATCGCAATAATTCCCTCTCTAAAAAGAATAATTTCTCCTTTTTTTTTCCTGCTCTCTGCTCACCAAATATGTAATAATGAACAGAGATATGGTAAGCTGTAATTAGAGTTAATGCAGTTCCTAGAAAGAAAAAAAGCCATAACCATAAAAATCCATGACACTAGGTAAAAAAAAAAAAAAAAAAAAAAAAAAAAAAAAAAAAAAAAAACAGAAAAAAAAACAACAAGGGTATAAATGAACATAGTTGACCTTTTCACAATCCCAGATCTTCTGTCTAGAAACTCCTGAATGTTTCTGCACCTGGAGAGGCCTCTTCTGAAACCTTCAGCTTTACACAACCCTTACATTGTGTTTCAGCCCCTGATTTCTGTTCAGGGTTAGAGAGAAATGTGTATGTATGTGTATGTATTGACTGTATTCATTGCTGCTTCTCCTGCCACTGGCCAGACTGGAACCCTTGCCAGAGTCAGGCAGGGAACAAACTGCTGAAACTCACAGATTTTTTTCAGCTCTGGCCCTCGGTATAAGCTCTCCCTGCCCTTAGAAGGAGAATAATAAACAAATAAAATATATTTCTTTTCTACTTGGACCTGGGCTACGTTGGGCAGAACACAGCCCATCTGTGCATACACAAATGGCCAGTAGTCTCCAAAGGGCTTTGATTCGTACTCCAGTTTGTTCTTCACCCAAGGAAATATAAACATGAATAGGTCTGTGTGCCAAAAACTTAATGACATAATTGAAAGGCAACAAGTGGCTACAGCAAAAATCTCTGCT